CTCTCGTGGCCGGGCCCCGGGGTCCGACTGGCGGCTTTTCACTTAGAAACGGGACCCGGGGAGGCTGGTCCGCCTGCATCGTCCTTGCGACCGCGAGGTCCTCGGTTCCCGGTCCCCAGTCTCCGCGTCCCGTGCGCCCCGTTCCCGCCGTGTGGGTGGCACCCCGTGCCGCGCTGGGGACCTGGGCTGACTGCCCTTTGCCCTCGGCCGGGTTTCCTCCAGAAGCGTCTGGGCAGATGCCGGCAGGAACTTCCGACGCCCCGAGCCCTCCCGGAGCCGCGGAGGGCCCGAGTTCCGGGAAGTCGCTCCGTTTCACTTAGTGACACCTCCCCCAAATTCCAGACCGTGGACACTTGAGAGGGGCACGCGGAACCCGGTGCTGCTGGAAGTCTGAGTGGCGCAGACCCCTGGCCGCCTGGGTGTTGCTGCTGTGATCCGTATTGGGGAGGGGGTTGCCCCGGGACAGGTGAGTGGCCAGTGCCACCCCAGCCCCCACCCCCGAGCCCCGAATCTGGGCGGTCAGAAGCCTTGGGCAACTCCTGCCTACGGTTCCTCCTCAAAGGCCTCTGTTTCCCAGCTGGTTCGAGGCTGGAACTGGAGGGACCTGGAGACATCTCGACTCTGCAGGCATCCAGCGGCCTGTCCAGCTGTGGCCGCCCCAGGTGCTGTCATGAGGACCGAGGGGCCCCGGCACCTCTCTGTGACCAGCCACAGGCTCTGCTCCGTGAGGGGCTTGCAGAAGGGTGTGTATGTGAGTGCGCCTGCGTATCTGTCCCCCAGAGCTCTGGGTACTTGACAGTGTAACCGGCTTTCTTCGCCTGGTCTCTTCAGCGGCCTGACCCGCATTCGGGGACTCTCCAGGCAGCCTCTGTCAGAGGCCAGCTCCTGAGCCTGGTCTGCCTCTCTGCTGATGCACGTAGTGAGGTCTCGAGCCTTGCTTCTGTGTCACATGGGGGTCTAAGGACCATGGCCTGCCATTGGCCAGAGACCCTGCAGCGATGCACAGAGACTGTCTGCCCCTTGCCTGTGACACCCCCTTGGGCAGGTGGGTGGCCAGGTCCAGCCTCTGAGTCTGCAGGGCTGTGCCACCTTGCCCAGGCCTCGCAGCAGCCCTGGGTTGGCAGTTACCACCCATTTTGCAGATGAGGACACCATCATCTCATAGCAAGTGGCCAGTGGAGTCTGGACTCCAGCCGAGTGCATCATTTCCATCCTGCACACAGCAGTGACTCCATGTGGTCCCAGAGTCATTGAAAATGCAGGAGTAGGAACATGGCTAGAAGGACGTCCCCTGATGTGGACAGCGGGTAGATGCCGCTGCTTGGGGAGTGCTTTTTATTCTTGTTCTTTGCTTATCTGCTTTTTTTTTTTAAAGATGACCAGTAAGGGGATCTTAACCCTTGACTTGGTGTTGTCAGCACCACGCTCTCCCAAGCGAGCCACAGGCCGGCCCTATCTGCATTTTCTAAACTGAACAGATATTACTTCACAGGAGAAAGCTTCTTACAAGAAATCAGGTTTCTTGGAGAAAGGCAGTCAGCTCACAGCCTAGCGGGTGGGAAGCCCACAGACCATCTGGGCAGACCCCGTCATGCAGTGTGGGGCTTACCTGTGAGCGGCACCAGGTGTCCGACGAGGCCCCACCCATGGCCCGGGCTCAGCCTCTGGCCGCAGGAGGGACCCTGGCTCAGGCCACAAAGAGTCCAGTGGGGACAGCCCCGTCTACAAGGCGTCTTTGACCCGCATCTGAGGCAGAGATGGAAAACTGTGGTCAGTGTGCCAGGGACACTACATCCTGCCACGGGACAGCATTTCTGGGGGGATTCGGTCCAATTTGATGGAGGCTCTGTCTTTCTGAGGAGCATACACAAGTACTTAGTGAAATGGAACAACCTATCTCAGTAATACCTACCTCCTGTTTCTGGGGTACATCAGGCAGGAAACAAGGCACACCTTGAACCCTGAGGCTGGTCATTCGGGGGAGACCGTGGCTGTGCGGAGGGGCATAGCCGGCGGCTCCTTTGACTTAGTCCACACACACCCTCCCCGCAAGGAGGGGAATATCTCCAGAGTATTCACCTGCTCTTGGCACTGAGCTGGAGACACCCAGGAGAACGTCCCCGGCAGCGGGTGGTCCCTATGAGTGGCTGGTGTGTAAGGCTGGGAGTGGGTCACACCACAGAGATCTCAGGCCTCAGTTCCTGCTGCTCGGAAGAGAGTTTCAGATGTAGTAGAAGGAGGGGGATCCACACTGGCCTCCCCCAGAGTCCCCTGCTCCCTCCTTCACCCTCCTGGCCCCCAGGCCGTTCCTGTTCTGCACCTTGGGCTCTTTCGGGGATGAGGGTTGGTCAGGCTGCTGGTGCCGGGGACAGTGTTCTTCTGGGGCTGGTGTAGGGTGACCCCATCCCTTTGACCTCCTTTGACCTCGAGGGGGTTTGAGTGGGTTTGCTGTGTGCCCGGCCCCTCTCGGGGTGCTGGGAAACATCCCTGGCCTGTCCTCCCCCCTGGCTGGGGCCAGGCCTGGGTGCGGCTCGGGAGTTTCCTGTTTGAGTCGAAAGGCCTTGCAGCTCAGATGGGATGGCCTTGCACACTAGCCTCCAGCCACCGAGTGCCCAACCTGATTTCTTGAGGAAGTGCACCCAGCAGGCACATGGCCATGACATGGTGGGGTGGGGGGTTTCGAACACCACCACAGGGCTGGGCCCTCTTGAAGCCCCTGTTCCACCTCCTCTACCCACTGGCATCTGTCCCTGCTCCAGCCTGCAGCCACCACGACCCCATCAGAGTTCCCCTGCCCAGCCCTCATCCAGAGTGCTCCTGCTCTCCCCGCTGCTCCGCTGGACCATCCCCACCAGCTTAAAGACCCTCTTTCGACCACAGGCCCCTGCAACTACCACCATTCCCTGCTGCCCTCTCCGCAGACCTGCCTGCAGACATTTCTGTGCTCATTGCACCAATTTCTCTCCTGCCATTCACTGTCTTTCTTAACACTCCAGAAATTTGATTTGTACTTATATGTAAATTTGTGTTCTGTACTTTTTTATAGAGGTAAAATTCATATAACAAAATTACCCTTTAAAAGTGAACAGTTCAGTGGCACTTAGTATATTGACAACGTTGTGCGGCCCATCGCCTCTACCTAGTTCCAAAACATTTCATCACCCCAAACAGTGCTTACCCCTTTTCCAGACCCTGGCAACCACTAATATTTCTGTATATGAATTTGCCCATTCTGGGTATATCATGTAAATGGAATCAATTCGTGTCCTTTAGTGTGTGGCTTCTGTCACCAAGCATAATGTTTTCAGGAATCCACGTTGCAGCATGTGTCAGTGCTTCGTTCCTTTTCGTGGCTGAGTAATATTTCATTGTATGGATGGACCACATTTTGTTTATCTGTTCATCAGTTGATGGACATTGATTGGGTTGCTTACGTTTTTTGGCTATTGTGAATAATGATGAACATCTGTGTGCAAGATTTTGTTTCAACGTGTGCTTTCAGTTCTCTTGGGTATACACCTAGCAGTGGAATTGCCAGTCAGGTACCAGTTCTGTGTACAACTTTTTGAGGAAACGCCACACTGCTTTCCATAGCGATTGCACCTCTTATGTTCCCACCAGCAAGGCACAAGGGTTCCAGTTTCTCCACATCTCCACAATTATTGTGTCCCAGTTTTAAAATGGTGTGAAGCAGTATCTCATTGTGGATTTGATTTGTGTTTCCCTAATGGTCTATGGTGCTGAGTCTCTTTTCACATGTTGGCCATTTGTGCATCTTTCTGGAGAGATGTCTGTTCAATTCCTTTGCCCATTTTTTAATTGGGTTGTCTTGTCAAATTGTAAGAGTTCTTTGCATATTCTGAATATACTCGACCCTTATCAGATATTCATATATGATTTGCAAATGTTTTCTCCCATTCTGTGGGTTCTCTTTTCAATTTCTTGATAGTGTCCTTTGAAGCAGAAGTTTTTAATTTTGATGAAGTTCAACTTATCTATTTATTAGTGTATTTTTTTCTTTTGTTACTTGTGCTTTTGGTGACATATCTAAGAATCCATTGCCAAATTTAAGGTCACTGTCAACTCTGAAGTCATGGGGATTTATCCCTATGTTTTCTTTGGGTGTGTTATAGTTTTTTTTTTTTTTTGTCTTTTTTCGTGTCCGGCAACGGATCGCAACCCTCAGTGTCGCGCCCGTACCGGACCGGGACCGGCAACGGGATCGCAACCCTCGGTGTTGCGCCCGCACCTCGCTCAGCCAGTGAGCGGGAACCGGTCTGTATGTGGGATCTGAACCCTCGGCGGGAGGCCACCGCGCCCCCAAGCGGCGCACTGTAGCAGTGCGCCACCGGACCGGCCCTGGGTGTGTTATAATTTAGCTCTTATATTTAGGTCTTTAATCAGTTTTGGGTTAATTTTTTTGTATTGTGTGAAGTAAAGGTCCAGCTGTTTTAGCACATTTGTTGGAGAGAATGTTCTTTCCCCATTGAGGACCTTGGCACCCTTATTGAAAATCAACTGACCATAGTACATCTCTTCATATGCCATCTTTTATCTCTCTTTAATGCTTAAAAAAAAAAATCAATAAAAAGAAGCCCCAAGAGGCCGGCCCATGGCTCACTTGGGAGAGCGTGGTGCTGACAACACCAAGGCCAAGGGTTAAGATCCCCTTACCGGTCATCTAAAAAAAAAAAAAAAGAAAACTTTTTATTATGGAAATTTTTAAATCTTTTACAAAAGTACAGAGAATTTATAATGAGCCCAGTTTATTCATCAGCCAGCATAGATGATCGGCTGTCAGTATGGGCAGATCTAGTTTCATTTAAACCCCACTCAGCCAACCCCAGACCATTTAGACTCCTCTGTCCTCCATGGGTTATGTAGATGCAAATCCCTAACATGCCATTTCTTTCATATGTGTTTCACTGTGTATCTCTAAAACATGTAGACTTTAAAAAAGCAGCTTTTTATATTTTTAACTTAATCTTTTACTTGAATTGGGAAACTTTAACATGAAGACGTGTTAACTACAACAGTGGGGCAAGCATAAAGGTGGTGAGAGGACTCTGGAGGGCACCCAGGGCTGGGGGAGAGTCCCTAAGGAGCACACCCGGAAAGGGGCTCCGTCCTCAGAGCTGGGGTTCAGGCCTCACTGGAGAAGATGCAGTTCATCCCCTGGACGGCGGAGCAGTTTGCTGAGCTCCCCAGCCTCTGGCAGTGGTGGGCAGGAACAGCACTGACAAACATCAGAAGTGCTGGAACCAGGAGGAGAGGCCTCTCCTCCCGCGAGGGCCCTGTAGTGCCCTTCACTGGCAAGTGTGAGATTGTGCTTAAGAGAAGAAATGCTTAAGGGTCCAACCGACTGGCACAGAGCAGGCAAGATGGTGAACGTGGAGCCTCGAGGTGGTAGGTGGACGACTGGCACAGCTTCCAGTGCTGTTCTGCTACTTCCTCTGTGCTGTGGGTGCCACACACTCAGTGTCCACACAGGTTGTAAACCCCACAGTACATTGCTGTTGTTATCTCTTAAAGATATTTAAGTAATAAGAAAAAAATCTTGCATATTTACTGATGTAGTTGCCATTTGCTGTGCTTTCTGTGCCACTTGTACCTCCATGTAACCATCTGGCATCACATTCCTTTGGCCTGGAGACTAGCATTTTTTAGAGTGTGGGTCAGCTGGCAATGAATTCCTTCAGCTTTTGTGTGTCAGGAAACTCTTTATCTTGCCTTCATTTTTGAAAGGTGTTTTCACAGTATGTAGAATTCTAGGCTTCATTTTTTTCAATGCCTTAAAGATATTCCACTGTCTTCTCACTTGCACCGTTTCTGATGAGGAATCTACTGCCACCCTTATTTTCCTTTCTCTGTGCCCAGTGCCTATTTTCTCTGGCTTTTACAATTATTCTATTATCACTGGTTATGAGCAATCGGATTATGATGTGCCTTGGCCTAATTTTCCCCATGTTTCTTGTGCTTGGGTTTCATGGGACTTCTTGGATCTGTAGGTTTACACTTTTCATTATGTTTGGAAAAAAATTTTGCTATTGTTTCTTAAATTTTTTTCTGTCATCCACTTTCCCCTCCTATTCTTTTTTTTTTTTTTTTTTTTTTTTTTTTTTTTT